AAAAAGAGTATTTCTTTTTGAAAATATGATTTTAAAAATGTCTATTTTAACCTTCTATTATAATGTACTTTAAATCATAGCCTCATTTTATCAATCTGAAAAACAGGAACAATTATTATCCACTAATGCATAAAGTTGTTCCTATATCATCCTTTCTTGATAAAATCTTAGGATCTCATGCATTTTGATACATTTCTTATATCCTGGAGCCATAAAAATGAATTAGATAAATATGGTGCAACACACTCAGTTTCTCAAATAAAACTTTCCTTTCCCCCTCCCCTTCTTTATTTTAGCAACAAAGAAATTGGAGAGCTGAGAGAAATACACTCCATGCACATCTAAAATTAGAGAGGGTGGGGCAGCAGGCAAGCATGATAGGGAGCCAACTAAATCCTCACTATATTTAATCTACAGTAGGTAGGAGCTATATTCTCAATTATCTGTGACAAGAGCAAGGGCATACAGAGTAAGACCAGCATCTGGTTTCATAGGACTTTAGCAAACATATCACTGAGATAATGTAATACAGCGCTTGGCAAGAATCTGTAGTATGCTGCTAAAGGCCAACAAGACCACGTGTAAAGCCCGATAAAAATAAAAGCACTGAGGCTGAGAGCTGCCAGAAGAGAATATGAAAAGGACAAGCTTTCATTTGCTGTGTTATCTTTCCAAGATTCTCCTTTGGTTGTCTCTCTCCTGCTTCCAGACAGGAAGAAATAGCACTGGGATTAAAAGTATGGTAACACACCAAACAGCTGCAAGCAAGCATCCTAGTGAACAGTCTATTGTTCAAAGCACATGCACATTACTTTTTATCATCTGTTGTATATAATTTTATTCTTTTCCATGATAGCTGTTCTTTGAATGTTTGGATAACAAAGTTTCCTATTATTTCTTGAAAAGCACCATGAACTAATTAGAATCATCTCCTTTGGAATCTGTCTGCGTACTGTTCTGCAATTTTCTTTCCCAATCTCACCCCCACCAGCAGATGGGCACTGGATTGGGTGCAAGTGACCAAGCCTCTGAGATGATAATTATCAGATTCTGATAATTACCAACAGCTTGCCAAGAGAGAAAATTGCTTTTAATTATTCATTTTAGGGTGAGTTTCAAGAGCACTGTCACTGGCATTTTTTTTAGTCCTTCTCCTAGTGTATTTTTAATTGACTGTTTTTTAAAAAAAATATTTATTTTTGAACTATTGAGGTCATGGAGTCTCAAGAAAAGCCAATTTAGAATGAGGAGGGGGTAATCAGCAGGAACTTTATATCCACCACCGATGTTTGCTTTGAGGGGGAGGTATGCCCTTTCCTTCCAAAAGTAATTCATTTTCTTTTTTTCCTCACATGCACATAAACACAATGAGAAAATCAAAGATATTCTTAACAATAATAGAATGCTCCAAGTTCTTGTGAGAAGTTTCTTTTCTACTGTTAATCTATAAGGAACGGAATTTTAGAGAGAATGTGAGATCCAATAAATACAAAAGAGTGTAAAAAGAAGGAAGCAAGGAACAAATTTGAAAGGAAAGGAACTTGCAGAAAGTCTACCCACTTGGCTCCAAAGAATGTTGTTTTAATGTATCAATCATTTATTGAGTTAATGTAAATTCAGTTAGCATTTATCTACCTATTAACATTTCACAACTCAGCACTGTTCAGACAATTGTCTCACCATCCTAAAAACATTCTTTTAACATAAGAGCTTTGATATACTCATTTTAAATGTGTACATATGTGCGTGTGTGTGTGTATGTGATATATAATCTTTATGAGCAATGCTGTATTTGTAGTTTTTCTTAACTTCTATGGGCAAAGCATTTCTGCACCTTTTTTAAGGTTCCCATCATATTAATAGGTAACTAAGTTCCACTCTTGTTAAAAAATAATCATTCATTTGGGGGAGGATCATTGCACTTAATATGGAATGTAGCTCCTATTGCAATTGTCTGGTCATCGCCTTGTTTTAATCAGTTGTAAGGCAATTTCATGCCTGAAGCTTAAATGGAACTGATTAGATGGAGGAGGAAAACTGATGCTCTACTGATAAAAGGTGTGGAGATACTTGGACATAAGCAACTCGGTACTGTTTCTCCATAATGGAATGTAAAATTCCTTGTGGCCCAAACATTTATAAAGGGAGAATTCTCGCTCATACACATTGAAAAGTTCTTACTTTGTGAGAAATCTTAAGGTTGTTTGGTTAAAAGCTTACAATCAAACAAAATGTGTGTTTTCATACAGCTAAATACTGGGTTGTACATCTCAGAACAAAGAATGCAGATTATGCCTGGAAGAAAGAAGACTCCCTCCTTGGAAAGCAGCCAATGGAAAAAGGAGGTTGAGGTCTTTTTTTGGATAATTAGCACTTTATGGAATCTCAGTGTATTATTCCAGCAAAGATGCTTATTTCAGTGTGATAATGTACAAGGCAATCTTATCTTAGCAGAACTGCCCTTTCAAGCATCTTAGCAATAGAACTAAAGACCTTAGACACTATGCTGTTGAAATACACTCTGACAATTTGTTTGGCTTATGCTAATAAAATATAAATGTATGAAGTGGATGTTTCACTAATCAAAGAGCAACAGTAGCTTTAATTTAGGACTCCGTGTAAAATCTTCTATAATTCCCAATTTCCACCATCTCCTTCCTTTTTACAGCTGCAAAGTAAGATTAGGGACAGAGACCCTTAAATTATTTTAGGGTGAAAATTGTGAAAATTTAAAAAGAATTTTGAGAAGGCACAGTACGCTCATCATTGCCTTAAGATTTAAACAGTCGGATCATAATTTCTCCAATTCAGTGGTATCCACACAATTCTGGTTAGCTTAAAAGAGAAAACAAAAATGTTTTTTTATTTATCTTTTTTAAGTTAAGTTTACATCTATAGTGACCAGTTTATCAGTATTAAAATTAAATCATAGTCCTGATCCTATATAATTCTATAGGACATCTTTTAATTGTAGGATTCCAGTCTGAAAGTAACTATCTTATGCTGACACAGATACCTAAGTAACAGTTTCTGTTAAACAACAGGACCCTATAGCCCCGTGATGGCGAACCTATGGCATGCCATATTTGCCAGCATGCAAGCCCTCAGCTCCTGCGCACACCGGCCAGCTGATTTTCGGCCTTCCAGAGGGCTGGGGGAGAAAAGCCTCTGGAGCCTGGGAAGAGCAAAAAACGGGCCCAATGGAAGTTTGGAAACAAACTTCCAGTTGGCCCATTTGGCCTGTTTTTCACCTTCCCCAGGCTCTGGGAGGCTTTCCTGAAGCCTGGGAAGGGTCCAAATGACTTCCCCCGCCCCTGTGGAGCCTGTCCAGAAGCCGGAAACGGATTGTTTCTGAACTACCGATTGCCACGTTGGGCCAGTTTTTCACCTTCCCCAGGCTTCCCTAGGGAGGGTGAAAAATGGGCCCAACGGGCCAACCAGTAGTTTGGAAACGATGTGTTTCCGGCTTCCGGAGGCTTTCTGGCGAAGGCCGTTTTCACACTTCCCAGGCTTCAGGAAACCCTCCTGGGGAGGACAAAAACTCTTTTTCGCACAGGAGTGGGTGGGTCATGTGTGCATGCGAAGGGTGGGAGTCATGCGCACATGCGCAGGTAGAGGTATATTGAATTGAGGGTGTGGGTATGCATGCATGCGCGATAGCATGCACACAATTTCAGCACATTTTTACAAAAAGGTTTGCCATCACTGCTATAGCCACATAACATTTCATAAAACTAACATAACATCCTTAAATCTTTTCCATTGACAACTGAGGATTAAAAACTGTAAAATTAGCCTTTTTTTGTATGAGCTTCCTCTTATGAAATATTGATTGTATACATAAATACTATACTATTCCTTGCCTTTTTATCAGTAACATGGTAGTTCACATTACTTAGTATGATTTAAATAATATTCCATAAAAAATTGCCATAAGGAAATTGCCATGTTTAGAGATCTATAGATAATTTATCCCACACACTAACAACAATTTGGCCTAAATGTGACTTTGAAATTCAGAGCTAACATGTCAGTACATCACCTTGGAATTAATTGGAAGCAGGCCATCCAAAATTACCTTCTAAATACCAAGAGCATTGCATAATGTAAATATACTGTATGCTAATTGTGCATATAATTTTAAGTATCTGTTACACTGCAATAAAGAGTAGTTGTGCGTACTTCAACATGCTATAGACTGTTATATTTTAATATCTAATACTATATATTATAGCTGATTTTTTCTCTTTCTTACCCAATGGATTTAAGCCTTTAATCTGATCAACGTGCTAATAAAGACTATAGTGCAGACTTCCCATTGACAACACCAACCACAAACCAATGATCCTTTTATTGTAGATCATCATGTAGCAGGAAAGAATATAGGATTCCCTTGGTTTTGAAGATTACACTTTCTGCAGGTAAGACAAAAAACAGGCTGTGAATTCTACTGCCGTGTTTTAATTCTTTGCCACTTGCCATTGTATATATCTCAATTGACCTTTCATATCTGCGGTGTCTTTCAAAGAATGCTTTCTTATATGTAAATTGCAGGCATGGGAATGAATCCAACCATTTACTAGAACAGCTTTAAAAGGGGTTGCATTATCTTTATGTAAGATACATAGTTGAATTTATGATCTGCCTCCCATCAATAAAGAGGCTCCCTATATCCATGCACTGCTTCTAATCCTATCAGCATTTCACTGGAAAAACAAAGATTGATATAACTTTCCGATGTGTGTTTTTATGTTCTGTATTCTTCCCCCACTGCTCTGGAGAACTGTTGGACCTGCAGAACACCACTGGAGATGACAGTCAGAATTGCAGACATAATTCAGTCACTCAGGAGCCAAGTAATCAAATGACATCTTTCCTACTTCTGCACTATTGTATCTCCAACTGAACTCCATTGGTGGAAGAAACGGTTGGGTTGAACTGGAGTGCTAAACTAAAATGTGGTTACCTTGTTTGGGGTCCAGTATATTGTAGACACCCAGCCACTGTGATTTGTTGGTGCTTCATTGTTGTACAAACCAAACAGCTGAGTTAATTTCATAATCAAGGATTTAATGATGAGGTATAAGTTGTGAAAACATAGCTGTGGAAACAATCAAAATAAATAATAGAAACCTTTTTCTTAGCAGTACTTTTACAAATGTTTTTTTTGAGAAAGTGAACTTTATTTTGTATTTATGATGGTTGTTTTAAAAAGCATTAGATTTCAATACATGTAGTCCACCAGCATGGGAAAAAAGTGATGTATGACCATTTTTCACAGTTAAGATCATTTAAGCATCCCCATGGTCATGTGATCATGCTTGGCAACTAACTCATGTTTATGACTTGCAATATCCCATGGTCATAAATGATCATCTTTTGTAACATTCTGGCAAGCAAAATCAATGGGGAAGCCAGATTTACTTAACGACCATGTTGCTAACTTAACAAATGTAGTGATTTAGTAAGAAATGAAGCAAGAATAAATGGGACAAAACTCACTTAACAGATGTCTCACTTATCAACAGAACTGTTGAGCTCAATTGTGTTGGTAAATCAAGGACTACCTGTAATTGTATGCATTTATTATACATTCAAATGCAAGTATACGATTACAAATTACATGAAAAAAAAAACAATTTCATTGTATAAACTGAATTTCCTTAAGATTAAATTAGCTTCAGTCTCATAAAAATCATCACGCAATTTGTCCAAGTTAAATACTCAAATATCTGCTTATACAGTAAATATCTCAATACATTCAAAGCCATTTCAATCTGTCATCTTGATGCCTGTTTTTGATGAGACTGTGAATAAAGGATCGTAGTGTGACGGCATGGTGCATTACCATAAATCAGGTTTTGTGAAAGACCTTTCTGTTCACATGGCCTGCAGTTCGTAATTACCATGGTAATCTACTCTGAAATATCAGCTCTTAGATACATCAAAGGGACACCGCTATAGACTACTCAACTTACTCACTACCTAAAGGTTAATTTGTGTACAACATAGTTTTCATAGTCAAAGTAATATTTACTAAGATAATAGAAATCAATTTCACATTAACTGGCAATGGAGGGGAATAAACTCATTCATACATACATATATATTACACATATTATTCATGCTTGGCTAAAAATATAACCCACAATGTTTTTACTGTTGCTGCTAGAAAACCTGGCTTGTCGGGAAAAAACTATAATCATAATCTTGCTATTTTTTTTAAGTATACTTTTAAAAATACAATCAAAATCCAACAAACAATGAATTGCTAAAACTACACTAATTCTTTGATTTTCAAAATTTCAGATCAAGGATTCTCAAATATACATCTTTCATACATATTTTTTCAAATAACAGTGGTGATTTATTAAGAAACATGCTCTGGAATGCTGAAGTTAATCCATGCTGATTGGCAATCCCTATAAATAAGTAGTTACCTAATAAGTAAGCCATTCTTTTGTTGTATTTTAAGTTAATAACCCTTCAAGAGGCTGCCTGGCAAGCAACAAGAAAAATAATTATTGTCAGTATTTAAATGCTTTGAAAGTTGTCTTCAGAAGAAAAATTTAGCAATATGACAGAATAGTATAGTTGTAACAGGGATTACACAGGATAATCAGTAAATAAAATTAACATAAATGAGCACTATTTCTCTGCTGCTGAATTACTTCATGCAAAGTCATACAAATGAGAAATGGAAAAGGCATAGAAATAAATACAATAGAAATAAAATACAAATTTGTTCAGTATTCATCTTATACGGCTGACCAATTGGTTAAGTTTCTATCATCCTAGTTAATTAGGTTTAATCACATGTCATTTTGGTGCAAAATCTCAAAAAGATTTGAGCAAAAGATTTTGGTAATTCTTGAGAGATCTTTAATGGGCAAGGATGGCCTTTTGGGGAAGGAGGCTTTGGGGAGAGGCTTAGTGCAAATCAGGTGCATTCCCCTAACAAAGTCTTAATGCACCCATTTTAATAAAGCAACAAAAAACAGGCCATGAAAATGAGTATTTTTTTAGCATTTTTGCTTTTTAGGAGGCAAAATTGTGGGCCATATGCATTCTACTCTTGACTTCTATGAATGACATAGTATGCAGTGACTGTTTGGAGGTATAGGGCTGTTATATTGAATTATCTGAGTAGTATATACCGTTCAAAATTATGGGACAGTAATTGCAGGGCAAATATTGCAGCACTACCTTATTACACAAAGCATATAAAAACTCTGGACCGCCATTCAGAAATTTCATTTCTAACCTTTCAGTTGTTGCTTTATTAAACTGAGGCATTAAGATTGCAATTTCTTTCATCTTTCATTTGGTATTATTAGATGCAAAGATCTTAGCAGACAACACAAACATGTCCCAAGTGTCTTGAAATCTTTGCAAAAGTATAGAATTTAATGGGCAACGATGGCCCATTCAAAATTTTAAAATCTCTTAAGAGCACCATTCAAGCTTAACATCTGAAGCTCTTAATTTCTCCCATAATTTGAAATGGAATTTATAATGGAAGATGGGAAGCAACTGCTCCAGGAATGCTAGAAGTGGTAAAAAGGAAGTGGTAAAAAGGGATAGAGGGCACAAAGTATAAAAATACAGGGAAGCTGGAAGTACCATGGAACCAAATCTCAAGGTTGGTTGGACGTCCGATGGCAGATAAGCCTGTTTTGTGATGAATATATGTTGTGGCTGTTGTTGTTGTTGTTGTTGTTATTATTATTATTATTATTATTATTAAACTTCAGCACTGGGTGGATTATGTGTTGTTTTGTATAGTCTCTTTACTTTTCTAATTTTTATTGTTGTGTACTAAATGAATTGTGAGAGGTTTGTGTTAGTTCATGAATTTATAAATTAACTCTATGGGCTGAGAAACGTACTTGTGTTCCCATATATTCTTCTGGTTTCTAAAAATCTTTTGAGACTTTAAACAGATGTTCTGACAAATGCAATAGTACAGGGCACCTACATTTGTTTGCATAGAGTCTAACATGGCTAATTGCCAAGTCAGTCTGCATATGATTTTAAGAATTTACATACTACCAGTTCATAGGCCAATGCAAGTTAGATAGATGGATGGATGGATGGATGGATGGATGGATGGATGGATGGAGAGCAAGAGAGAGATAATTATACATTTTGCACTGGTGCAGAATCTGTAAGTCAGATATTATATACAGTTATAATAAAAATATCTGACTTACAGATTCTGCACCAGTGCAAAATGTATAATTAGCAAAATCTAAAGTTTGCAGGAGTCCTGAACTTCATCTCTAGAGCTGTCCTCCCCACCCTTGCTTTAGTCAGACCACTTTATTTGCTTCACAATCCCCAGAACTCCTATACAATCTTGGGTAAGCAAATGGCATGTGATTCCTTCTCAAAGGAGGAATCTGTGAGTTCCCAACATTAAAGGCTTATTCTTATCAGAATTGTCAGATCATTATGAATTTGGCAAAAATGTCCTTTTGGTAATCCCTCCCCCTTCAACTTGGTGAGAATGAGTGGATTTGACAACCACCAGAGATTTTGATTCAGGTCTAGGAAAGAAACTGATTGATTATCCTGGCAGCCTAACACTTATTCCCTAATCTATACTGCACAATAATTCCCAGAAATTCTGGTTTAGGATTCCTTTCTGATATAATGAAAAGAAAAAGTTGGGTCTACCAAAGCACCGGTTGTATTCCCGGATGCCACACAGAACACTCTGCCTGAATCAGAATCCAAGCTGAACACGACCCTGATACCTTCCAAGAGGAGAGAGCGAGCTGTGTTACAGCAGCAGCAGCAGCAAAGCGTCTCGGAGAAAACTGCAAGATCACATTTTCACCGCCTTTGCTGGACCGGACCACAGCCCGTCCTTCCTCTCTCACCTGCGGGAGGAAAGGCAGCAACCTGCAAGCGACAGAGACCCAGCGTCCCTAGCCCTGCTCTTTCGCGCCTTAAAAAAATCGGCGCCCCGGAGGCAAAGATTGCTGGAAAGGGAACCGCCGTCTTCGCTGCCGATAGTATCCTAGCCTGGGAGCGAAAAACTCTTTTGCCTTCCTGCAAGCGAGGTCGGAAGAGGGTCGTCCGTCCCCCTGCCGTCTTTCGGGGGGCTGCTCGCTCAGCGAATGGACGCTTCCCCACCGCTTCGGGCGGCGGAGAAACTAAGCCTCGGTTCCTGGGTGGGCCGAGGAGGGGGAGGCAGTTCCTGGGCGGTGCGAGGGGGCTGCCAGCTTCCCCCTCCCCTCTCCTCCCCTTGAGTACCTGCAGCAGGCAGTGGCCGAGTCCCAGAAAGCCCCGCTCCGGAGCAACACAGAAGCCCGGCTCCTGCACCTTGTCGCCCGCCCTGCCGTCGCCGGGTCCCAAAGTCCGTCGGAACCCGCGCTCAGAGAGAGGGAGAAGACAGGCAGCATTAGAGGCGGCATGGCCGAACCTCCCAGGTACCTTCGCCGCCGCAGCCGGGAATCCTCCGGGGCGGCGCTGCTCTTCCTGCTCTCTATCCTGGCTGCGCTCGGGACCACCCAGCCGGACTCGGACGGGCCGTCGCTTCTCCTTCAGCCGTCGAAACCGGGCGCTGCCGACGGGGCCGCCGCAGGGATCTTGGTGGCCAACCGCGGGCTGCGCGTGCCTTTCGGCCGCTCCGTTTCCCTGGACCCCGCCCACGACCTGGTGATCCGCGTGCAGCCGGGCGACAAGTGCGTCGTGACCGTCTTGGGGAGCGGGCTGCCGCCTGCGCCTCACCGCCCGGGGGCGCTCTCCCCGCAACGCTTCCCCTGCGCCTTCGGTCCCGGCGAGGTGACCTACACCCACTACGGGTCTCGCAGCCCCGGCCGTGACCGCCTCAGCCTCCAGCTCCGCTACGACTCCCCCAGCCGCACATCCGTGGTGCCTTTCGCGCTGGAGGTCGAGGTGCTGTCGCAGCAGTTGCGCCTCCTCAGCCGCAACCTGCCGCTGGCCGTGGAGAAGCTGCGGGGCCTCAGCCAGCCCCTGGACGCCAAAGTCCTAGCCTTCTCCGAGGAGGGAGAAGCCGCGCGTCGCCACTGCCGCCTCACCGCCCTCCCTCACCCGTCCAGCAGCGGCAACCACCTGCCTTCCTACGGGCGCTTGATCGACGCCCGCGGGCGCCCCCTGCCGCCGGGCTACAGCAATGACTGCCGCCGCTTCCTCAGCGAGGACATCCGCTACCAGCACACGGCTCCCACGCCCTCCCCCAACCGCGACTACATCCCCATGCGGGTGGAAGTGCTGAAGGACAGCGGATCTCCCGAGAGTCTAAGCCAGCAGGAATACTTTCAGGTGGTGGTTCGGATCCGGGATGGGGCTGAGAACACGCCCCCCAAGCCCAGCTTTGTGGCTTTGCTCATGATGGAGGTGGATCAGTTTGTGCTTACCGCCATCACCCCTGACATGTTGGCTGCGGAGGACTTGGAGACCCCCTCAGATCTGCTGCTATTTAATCTCACCTCTCCCTGGCTCAGTGTTGGAGGGCAGGACGACACAACTGGTTACTTGCTAAGTACGGATGATCCTAGTCGTCCACTCACTTCTTTCACTCAGCGGGAGTTGAGGGAGCTGAAGATTGCCTACCAGCCTCCTACAGTGGACTCGGACCATGAGCGCCTTTTCCAATTTGAGATGGAGGTGTTGGACCCTGAGGGTGCCTCTTCAGACCCCTTTGCCTTCATGGTGGTGGTGAAACCTATGAACACTTTGGCTCCGGTGGCTGTCTTTAATCGCATTTCTGGCCCTCAGATGATGCTTTTTGAAGGCCAGTCAAGGCCGCTTTCCGACAATCTTGTAATCAGTGATGAGGACAACTTAGGGGAAGTGAAGATTTGGGTTACAAAAGGTCTAAAACATGGTGAACTGAGAGTTTTGGGTGCATCTCCTGGTCGTCATTTCTTTACTGCAGCAGAGTTGGAAGCTGGACAGGTGATCTACCAGCACGACAGCAGTGAGGACAGTTTCAGTGATAACATTATCTTCCGCATGGAGGATGGACAACACCAGGTGGAGTTTTTTTATCCAATTACAATCATCCCTGATGATGATCAACCACCACTCCTTAATGCCAACACTGGCTTGGTCCTCAGTGAGCACCAGGTAGTGCAGATCTCACCCTTTGTTCTTAGTGCTACTGATATAGATTCTGATGACTCAACTATTCAATTTGTTGTTAAGGAGGTTAAAAAGTCTTCAGGTATACCTGTTCGGAAACATTTGGGTGAGCTTCTATTGCGTCAGGAAGAGGTTCCATCAGCCTATGAAAAAGAAGAAGGTATGGAAGAAGATCAGAGTGATCCATCCCACTGGCACTTTATAGACAGTGAGGGTATGTATGAGAAGGTAGTGACTGAATGGCTGCAAGAGGATATCCTGGATGGAAAGTTGTTCTACAGGCATATTGGACCTCATAGCACCAATGTAGTGATGGACCAGTTTGTATTCTATCTCCAAGATGATAATGACCCTCCAAATCAATCTGAAGAACAGGTGTTTATCATCAAGATACAGCCAGTAGATAACTTATCTCCAGAACTATATCCAGGGACAACTTTACAGATGACTGTCCTGGAATATCAAGTGACACATTTCAAGAAGCATTATCTGTGTTATACTGATTTGGACACAGATGATAGAGAGCTGAAATATACAGTGCTTACATCACCAACTGACATTGACGAAAATCACCCTGTCTTGGCAGGTGAAATTGTATTGACTGACAGCCCTCTGGTGCCCATTACCCATTTCACTCAAGCACAGATAAATCATCATAAAGTGGCCTATAGACCACCAGACCAAGAACTTGGCATTACTCCAAGAATAGCACAATTCACTTACAGTGTAGAAGATACAGCTGGTAATTCCGTTCTAGGTATTTTCACTTTCTTTTTGCAACCAGTGAATAATCAGCCCCCACAAATAACCAATGCTGGTTTCACTGTGTTTGAGGGGCACAGTTTCTTTCTCACCACTACTCAGCTAGATGCTACTGATAAAGATACAGACACTGATCGAATTGTCTTCACTTTAACTGAAGCACCTCAGCATGGCCACCTGCGTTACTTGGAGGAGGGATTGATGCTACAGGGTGAATCTTTTCTCTTAGATGACATTGCTAATGGTCGCATATCCTATCAGCATAATGGTGATGAGTACAGAAATGATTCCTTTCAATTAGAAGTAAGTGATGAAGTTCATCAAGTACCAATCACAGTTAAAATTGCTGTTCAACCAGTTGATGATGAACGTCCCAGCATCATGGTCCCTAGTAGTAATGGACTTTTGGGGGCCTTTATTGATGTTCTGGAAAATAGTGTTACTGAAATAACTACTTCTCTTATCCAGGGCACAGATGAGGATACTGATGAACTGGCATTAACTTTTATTGTAGAGGACCCCCCTAAGCTGGGTAGTATTTTAGTGGATGGAGTACCCTCTAAAAGATTCACTCAAGAAGATCTCATAAGCGGAACAGTTGTTTATGCTCACAATAGTGGAGAAATTGGATTGAAGAGGCAGACTGATTCTTTCAATCTTACTATCTCAGATCAGTCCAGTGACTGGGTGGTGAGAGGAAGCACAATAGAAGGAGTACGTGTGACTGTAACTCTTTTGCCAGTGGACAACATTGCTCCAGAAGTTATGTTGGGAGAAGAACCATTCACTGTTCATGAAGGAGGAAAAAATGTGTTAAGGTTAGAACTGCTGGATGTGGAAGATATTGATACTCCCAGAGATGATATTCTCTGTACCATTCTAACACAGTCAACTGCTGGATATCTAGAGAATATCTCTCCAGCACCAGGATCTGAAAAATCCAGAGCTGGGATTCCCATCAGTGCATTTTCTATCAAAGATATTCGTGTTGGTCATATCAACTATGTTCAGAGCATCCATAAGGGGATAGAACCTTTAGAAGACAGATTCACTTTCCAGTGCTCTGATGGTATCAACTTTTCACCACCTCAGTTCTTTCCAATTATCATCATCCCAACCAATGATGAGAAGCCGGAATTGTTTGTACGTGAGTTTGTGGTTTTGGAAGGAATGAGCTTGGTAATTGACACACCCATTCTCAATGGTGCTGATGCTGATATTCCCCCAGATGAATTGCGCTTCTTTATAACTGTTCCTCCAAAGTATGGACAGATTGTTAATCAGCTAGTTACAGGTACTGTGTCTGTTACCAATTTCACTCTGGAAGAAATTCAGGAAGCATCTAGCATTGTGTATGAGCATGATGACTCAGAAACTAAAGAGGACTTTTTCAAAATCCAGCTCACTGATGGCCTACACACAGTGGAAGAGGAAGTGTTAATAATGGTCATTTTGGTTGATGATGAAACACCCCGGATGTCCATCAATGGTGGATTAGAAGTAGATGTTGGTGAATCTAAAGTTATCACCAATCAAGATCTCAAAGCTACTGACATAGACTCAGAAGACAGGATGCTTACTTATATTATTCGTTTATCCCCCAGGCATGGCTTACTACAGCATATAAGTAAAGAAAAAGAGGTGCTATACAACATTACACTTGGCATGAATTTCACACAGGATGACATAGATCATAAATTTATATGTTATACACATACAGGCCAACAGGGACTCCGGGACTTAATTAAATTTGATGTCACTGATGGCATCAATCCCTTGATAGACAGATATTTTTACATTACTATCAATGGCATTGATATGGTGTTTCCCGAGGTGATCAATAAAGGAGTCACTCTGAAAGAAGGAGGGAAAGTGACTCTCACTACTGATCTCCTCAGTACAAGTGATATCAACAGCCCTGATGAACTACTTAAGTTCAGCATCACCCGGGCACCAAGCAGAGGTCATTTAGAGAATTCTGATAACCCCGGAGTTCTTGTCACTACCTTCACTCAGCTTCAACTAGCTGGAAACAAGATTTATTACATCCACACTGCAGATGATGAAGTGAAGATGGATAGCTTTGAGTTTGAAGTGACTGATGGCTATAATCCAGTCTTCCGTACTTTTAGAGTTTCTATTACTGATGTAGACAATAAGAAACCAGTTCTCACATTACATGACCTCACAGTTCAAGAAGGGGAAACCAAACTGATCACACCATTTGAGCTAAATGTGGATGATCGGGATACACCTGACCATGTACTCCATTTCATAATTACCCAAGTCCCTGTACATGGTCAAATTATTTATAACAACAGCTATTCTGTCACCAGCTTCACTAAACAAGACTTAAATGAAAATATGATCAGCTACAAACATGATGGCACTGAAACTAATCATGACAGCTTCTCTTTCACTGTAACGGATGGGACACATCCAGATTTTTACGTTTTTCCTGATACCATCCTTGAAACACGTAACCCACAGATGATGAAAATCCAGATCAATGCTTTAGACAATGGAATACCACAAATAGTAGTGAACAAGGGTGTCTCCACACTGAGAAATATAGCAACTGGACACTTGGGCTTCCTAATAACCAGCAAGTCTTTGAAAGCAGAAGACAGAGATAGTCCACACAAATTATTGAAATATAAGATCACAGATGGACCAAAGCATGGATTTCTCATTAATATTGGTCTAGGAAATGCAAGTGTCAAATCATTTTCCCAAGGTTAGTATTATGTAATCACTAGTTTATTTATTCATTTTTTAAAGAAAGTCGATGTTTCTAAAACAATGAAATCTGTCTGAATGTTGTTTTAAAATTCACTAATCAACATCTACAAGCAAGTTACTCTTTTATTTTACCTATCAAATCCATTATTTATTTTGTTGCCAGGTGCAAAATTAACTGGATTCATAATCCTGTCGAGCCAAAAGCATTTCCTGCCCATAATGGCTTAAATCTAGCAGTAAAGAGCTCAGTCCATTGTAGGTCAAGTTGCTTTACACTATGGACACAAATACATTTTCAAATTGCCATAGATTTATAAGGTTTATTATATGAGCATTATCAGGTGTTTGACAGTGTAAAATGTTTAACTTTTACAAATTCTCAACAGTCTTAAAACTTGTTCTATATTAGAAAATATATAAACACCTGAAATATGTATTATCCCATGGAATAAGACAACAATTTTTGCTGTGATGGCATTCCATTAATTATTATGGTATTATTCAGTGATTACAACCAGCACAATCTATCAGTTTTATATTTCATTCCAAGTGCTCTGAGCATATAGTAATTAATAGCTTGGATTCATACATGAAGACTTAATGTGACATGTTTGTTCTTTATATTGAGATTTGTAAATGTTTTATGGCTTAGCATAATGGTTTGTTATAGTTTGTTCTATAAACTCTTAACAGTATTATGTTAGAGTTTATAGAACTCTAACTCTATAGAACAGTATTATGTGTATGCCTAGCTATAGGTTCTAAATGAAAATAAGTGACTCACAATCATTTAAACCAGTGTTCTCCAACCAGATACTTTGCAGATAAAGTTCCATAATCTTTCTGGACATTGAAGTCTGAGCATATGGATAGCTCAGATTCATCTGAAGGGCATCAGGTTTGGTTCTCCAGATGACAAAGGGAGAAATGTTAAACCTCTTCAGATGTTCGTATATTGTGAAGGATATTACACAAATATAACCTGATTCTAAACAAATAAACAAACAAAACCAAAGGGGTAAGTTTAACCTGTATTGAAAAGATTTTGATGTCAACATTGACTTGTGTAACTTTTCTCATTCCTATCAGCTGATATAGATGAAATGAAGATATGTTATGCCTTGAAAGAACATGAAAATGCTACGAGCGATATCTTCTATTTTTCAGTTGAAGATAATGGTAAGATTTTTTTTACAGTGGTTCAGTAGTTTTAAAGTGATGTGCATATGAATATTGGCATTAAATATTGTGAATTTTTTGTAATTCAGGCTGCACAAAATAGATTGCTTGTCCTGAAACTATGCTTTTTAAAAAAACAGAAGTCCTTTTGTGCTCAGAGATATTGAAACTCATATCATATATACAAGCTTACACAATAATTGGAAATTACAATTTGTTTTGGCTTGGTATAGGTACATTATTACATCCTAATTACAGATTTGAAATGGGTTCTTTAGAGACAATACCATCAGTGTGAAACCTGGTTTAGGTAGTGAAGAAATACATTGTAACAGTCTCCATGAATTGATAGGAAAGGTTTGAATATTTGTGATGTCATAATTTTCAATCAAATATGATTATAATCTGGTACATGTACAATATATGACTGCAAATACTAATTAACATTCTAATTGGAATTTGTTATTTTGGTTATTAATGATGAACATGTGTTCCTTGCAACTCCGTCTCATCTTTATCTCAGGAGAGGTCCAATATTTTTGTTGCTAAGAGACAGCTGGTGCTCTAAATGTTGTTCTAGTAGTTGCAATCTTAAAATGACAAAGAAAGGAGGAGCACAAGAAAGCTCATTTTAGGACTATGCAGTATTTCAGATTTGATTCCCAAAAGTGGTTTAGGCTGCACAAGAGTGCACATCTGTTTGCATATCTTTAAAGCAGCCACTTCTTTCTCAGCCAACTACAAAGGGTAGATATATGATCCCAGAGGAATTGTATCTGCTTTAAAAACTTGCAGAAAGGGGCTACATTCATGCTACCTATGTATTCTGAAGAACCTCAAATACAAAAATGATGCACTGTCATTACACAATCAATATAACTACTTCCAATATATTTAATCATTTCTATTGCTGTCCTATTAAAATCATGGTGTGGTGGAAGATGGGGAAAACTGTGTCTTAAGACATGGGGTAAACAAGATAGAAATGAAGATTCAGTTCTACAGTTTCCAATTTTTAAAAACATTTTTCTAATTATTTTAATAAATATGTAATTGAAGAAAGAAAACTATGGGACATGATAAAAATCATGTATATTATAATCACTTGATGAGACTAAATTCCTGGCATATCTAATTGTTTAGTATTTTAATCCTTATTTGGCTATACCAAACAATATAAGAGTAGTCATCCCACAACTAGGCCAGAATGTTCAGCAGCGGAATAGTGGAACTGGCTGAGGAATTCTGGGAGTTGAAATCCATATAGCTGGAGGGCAGCCAGACCATGGAAAACTGCATGATATGTATAAGGGTATAACATGGGAAGAGCTATATTAGAATACCCTAAAGTCTATTTTGTCCTCTCACTTTAGCCTTTAATATCCATTAGACTAAGTGATCATTTGAGATGTGTCACATTCATCATGCAAACCAATCTCCAGTCCTAACCACATCAAGGATTGATTTTGTTTAGATCCAGTAGAATTTCCTTACCAGGAATTATAATTTATTTATAATATACAGTATTTTTTTTAAAAAAAGCTGTTATGAGCTACATTTTTTCTGACTTGTCAGTAAACTCTTTAATGATTTCAATGATCACAGGCTTTATTACTATTCCTAGATTTTAAAAGTAAAGTCACATGCTTTGATAATTTTACCTTCAAGTAAAAATAGTCTTATTGTAACAATGTACAATGAAATATTAATTGAATTTTTTTATTTGGAGAATGTTTGCATTACACTCAATATTTCAAAAAAACAGAACAGACCTGGTAACATTCCAAAATACATTCTATAAATGTTTGTGTTTTCTGAAAGAACCTGTTTAAATTTAATGCTGGATTTCTGTTAAGCCAAATTATTTACTAATTTGTTTAAAATTCATGTGTACTTAAGATATATAAAATGAGTAGTCTCTTTTATGTATACAGTATGTGAACTTAGTAAAAGTGGCTCTATCTTTGGAATAAACAGTGATTGATTTCATAAGGTACAATCATGTACCAAAAATGAGAAGCTAATCACTGAGGTTATATAGAATGAAGACACATGCATTGATCAGAGTTTCTTAATGGATCTGAGATTAATGAAGGTAATAGATAATGTGATACCAAAGCTGCTAATAGGTGATAATTGATTTTAAGAGCTGTATGACTAAATGTAATATGATATTCGGGTTTACTGAAGGAGCAGGAAAGGAATGCCCTCAGGTGCATTATTTCTATTACAATAGAATGCAACTCTCTTTTTGTGTATTGCACTGGTGCATAATAATTAATCTGCAAACATAAATCTTCTGGAATAGAAATTGAGTAACCAGGAGAATACATTTAGCTTTCAAAAGAAGTGACAGGGAGACTTGAAATGATGAATTATGATAATATCTTGCATAGTAATTCTTCTAATAATCCAAAATATTGGATAAGTGAGGCAGAGATCTTCATTTATTTATTTAGTTAATACATTTATACAGCATGTATGTATACAGAATGCATACAGTATACAGTACTCTATGGCCTCTCCTCTCATACGTGACTCTGGATTAGTAAACTATATTGGTTCCAATAAATTCTACAGAGGCTGCAGTGATTACCAGAACTGGAAGGAACCGCAATAACTTTATACCCATGTGCTCTTTCGCGCTTTCTTACACACACACACACACACACACACACACACACACACACACATATATACACACACACACAGAATTGCTGGGAAGAAACTTTGTGAAGTGAATAAACAGGAAGAAATAGTTTATCTATTTTTTTTCCTGCTCTCAGTAGTAAACAGTGATTAGAAATAAATGAAAGAAACATATCTAAAGAACCTGCATGGAGTTTTCCTTAAAGTTTCAAAGTGCCTGATATCTATATGTGATTTATCACACCAATGAGACAAACTCCACTCTCCTGGAGAGAAAGGATAGAGTGATATGGAGAAAATGCATTTGAAGATGGTAGGACTACTATTTGACCACATATTCATTATTTGATAAACTAAGAAAAGGACAGTCTCCAAAAGCTGAACCGCTGGGTATTCCTTTAGAGCAGTATCTATGTGTATTGTCCCCTCCCTCACAAGAAACTCATTTCAGAGTATGAGGATGTTTGGAGCAGGGATAAGAATGTAGTTGTGGCATTGGAGCTAGATGTGCTGTGTGGCTTCTATTTCATTAGAGCATGGGTGTCAAACTCATGGCATCACATTGCTGTCATGTGACGTTTCGCGACATTTGCCCCATTAGGGGAGCTGGGGTAGACATGGCCTGCACGTGATGCATACGGCCCGTGGGCCACCAGTTTGACTCCCCTGCATTAGAGTGACCAACGATATGAGTAAATACCTAAATAAAGCTGGGAGAGCAGGACAACCAGATGGTCCCTTATACCTGGGCGATCACACTTTGGCAAATGTACTTGTTCATTTTCTAAACCCAGATTTAATGGGTGAGCTTATATCATCTTGATCTAGGAAATCTACTTGTACTAGATGGGAAGAAATAATATTTTCTTTGATCAATCAAATAATTTCTATGCCCTACCCAGCAGGTGGCACCTTAAAACCTTTGATCATTTTACACTTTGGAAGTATCCTCCTTTTAAAAATGTTTCTAGTACAGTCATCGATAATGTTGTGATAGTATAAATGGCTTGTAACATGCACTCCCATTAATAACAATGAAAGAAAAGTACTGAACTCAAGCCAACAGAAACAAAATGTATGGAAAGTATCATTAAGCTTCTGCTGTAAGAGGTGAAATAAAACACCAGATAGAATGAGTTATTTCAGTAAGGCAAAGAACCGTATAGCTGAATTTCTTTTCTGTTCTGACAACCGTCTTTGGTCTGATGGAAAACAGTCAAATCTTCATTAGAGGGTAAACTAATTGTGTTATTTGTTTTATTACATTTTATAAATTATAGAATATTCTATATAGAATTATAGAATATTTCATATATCAATAATAACTGTTACACAAACAAATAAGCTTTGGGTATTCCAGTGATACGAAAAATACATACATGTGGTTTTCTGGGTCATGGGTTTGTGCCATGTAGAACCTAATACAGAGGTCTTCAAATTTTAAGACTTGTGGACTTCAACTCCCAGAATTCTCCAGCCTGAGCTTATATTTGGCAAGCTTAGTGGGGTCCTAGAATTAACTTAAAATACTGCTAACTATATTTACAAATCAGAACAATAGGACATCATGCTTAGCTCTTTATTGCTTCAATTTATTGTCTTTTATAAGTTGATTTGTATATTGTCTTAAACATTGATAAAAAACTGAAATAATTGTATAAAAATCTTCCAATGAATAGAAAAATACAGGTAGTCCTCAACTTACAACAGTTCATTTAGTGATCATTCAAAATTACAATGGCAATGAAAAAAGCTACTTATGACCGTTTTTCACATTATGACCTTTGCAAGATCTTGTGATCAAATTTCAGATGCTTGGCACCTGGTTCCTTATGACTATTGCTGTGTCCCAAGGTCATGTGATCGCTTTTGAGACTTTCTGAAAAAACAAAGTCAATGAGGAAGCCAGATTCACTTAACAACCAGGTTACTATCTTATAAACTGAAGTGATTCACTTAACAACTATGGCAAGAGAGGTCATAAAATGGGGGTAAAACTTTCGTTTCTCACTTAGAAATGTCTCACTTAGCAATAGAAATTTTGGATTCAGTTGTGGTCAAAAGTCGAGAACTAACTTATTGACTGGCATAATAATTAGTGCTGCATTCTTCTATTAAGTAAATTAGCAGAGTTTTGTAGGAACTGATATAGCTTTTCTATTATTCAACAAACCAGGAACACAAAGTCATTTGTAATAATCTCTTTTTGAAAATCTATTCACTTAAAATTTTAATGTATTACTTTAAAAAAGTTGCAAAGTATATGTTGAAATAAGTGCATTGTAAACAATGAAAACAGTTTCCAAAATGTAAGCCTTATAAGGAAAATAGTTTTATAGGCTTACTTAACA